CACTCAGAGCCACGGGCTGACACTGAGCATGTGACCGGGCTTGGTTGAATTATTTCAAAAGGAATAATCATAGTTTTGATTCAACAAAGATCTGCTGTTAGAAGCACTTGGACATCAATGCCTCTGACATACAATACTTACAGAAGTCGATGAAATTAAGTGACAATCCAAGTTTTCTAGAAAGAAATGCTAAACATCCAGCCTCTAAAATGCAAATATATTCTGCTTTAGCTTGTCTTAGATTATAGCTAATTGAATGTAGTTAACTGAAGTTACCTTTTCCAATGGCACTTTTCTTTCTTGACGTTTATACGAAAAACCAATTAAATATTTGATTGACTGCCAAAATGTTTCAGCAGAATAATGAAAACGCTACCTGACTTCCAATATTGACTCACCTAAGCTGCATGTCTTGTTTTCTTTTGCTCTTTAGGAGTAGAAGAAATCAAGAGAAATCTAACACACACAAATCTCTGACATATAAGTACCTATATGCATTAGCAAACAATATATTTAGGGTCACGTTTCTGACCGCTTTATGATTATTAGTCCAATATCCACTTGACCAACTCCTCACAAAACTATCCAAATTTGTTTCTGTAATTCGATTTTCATTATTAGAAAATAAAAACCCAGTATTCTGCAAGTTATTCCAAAGTCTTCTTTATAAAGATAATCATTTAGCAGCATAATTCAAACAACGACATCTTCACTCTCTGAAAACCTTGGCGAGTCCACAAACAGTTTTATTGAGGACGATATTTCTGTCAAGGCTTCGGCCCCTAAATACTATTGGGAGTTTTATTTTTCCTGATAGCCCGTCTGTTCCTTGTGTTTGGATGAGAGGTGAGACACTCGATGACTCAGTCTGATTTACAGCCTGCCAAGCTGCTGTCAGACTCCCAACATATAACTGCTAATACAATCTGTTACAGTGAGAGGAGAGGCTCCCAAGAAACCAACACAGGAAGTCCTGCTGCTTTCAGATCTGGGTTAGGCTGAACAGGGAGGCTGTCTGTCATTTGTTCCACCACTTTAGACTAAAATATGTCAACATCTATTAAATATATCGGCGTTAAACTTGGTTAAGAGATTCTTGTTTAGTAGATGCCTCTGACTTTGGTGATTCACAGACTTTCCCTTTAGCGCTATGATGTGGTTCATTTCAGTGAAATATCTTTAAAACTATCGTAAACTTATGGATTGTCATGAAATGTCATAATTCATTGTAATAATAATTTGATGCTTTTGTTTAGGTCAAAATAGTTGCAAGATTAATGACATTCCCATTAGCCTCACCTGTAGGCTACCTTGTTTCTAAGAGAGAATTAGCAAATGATAGCATGCTAACCGGCTACACTTGGATTAAGAATGGTAAACTTGGTCACAATCTGAATGTTAGCGTTGTCATCTTGAGCATTTTAACATGCTCACATTAGCATTTAGCTCACATATCACTATGTTTAAGTCAACATGACTTCAACCCTAAAATGAATGTGGCAGCAATTAAGCTTGACCATGGAACCAATGCTGGAAAAAGTAAACTATCCTAAATGATTTTCTTCAGGAAGTCAAAAGGACGTTTTGCCAGCTTGGATACTTTCGCTTCTGCTTCTAATCAAAATTAAATTTGTAACACGAGTCAAGTCTCTTATATCTGAAGATCGTGTTTTAAATGTCCCTTGATGTGTCTGAAGACATTTAAAAACACTTTGATTTCTGCTACAGCGAATGCTTCCGGCTCTCTTATGATTATAAAGTGGCAGCTTTGATACTTACGTAAAATATAATACAGGCAAAAAAGATTCGTACAGGGGAGGAATTTCATTTTTCATGGGTTTGAAACTTCAAAGCGCATCTCTCAGAATTATAATTCATCCTCCAGGGTTTCATTCGAATGTATGATTTCCTCATTTGCTTTGTGGCGGTGATAGTTAGACTTTAGGAGACAGTTTCATTCCTGACACATCGTACAGGTTCGCCTATTTTAAATGTCATTACACTGGAGATAAACATACAGATTTTTCAACAAGTGAAACCTTTTTAGGGAATCAATTATTATTATAATAATAATTTTTCTAAAATATATTCACAAACCAGCTTTTAAAGACCCCCCCTCTGAAACGACTACTTTGGTTTTTTCCCTAACATGAGGACATCACTATGTAACACTATTGGCTAGCGCTCCAACACATTGTACGTGATAGGCTAAGGGGCGGGACATCTCTAAGCAGTTGACCAATCACAACAGAGCCGGCCAGCTAACCAATCAGAGCAGACTGGGCTCTGGTTTCAGACAGAGGTGAAGTATGAGAAAAATAAAGAGCTTTGTGAACATTAAAGTATGTAAACATGTCACAGTAGACACAACATACAATTATTAACCTGAAAATGAGCATAACATTTAATGGCGGTCTCTAGCTGAAGAGTTGTATTTGATACGTTTATTCTGCTGCCCAGAATGTAAAAGGAGATTTTGCTGCAAAGTCTCTGTAAAATCTTGATATGGATGCTGCAGCAGATTTGGACTTAAAGCAGTCCCCACGCTACTCCTCTCCTCACATCTGCTCTGCTTCTCATTGGTGGAGTGAGACACAAGATATTAACTAGGTCAATGAGATTCCTTCACACTCCTCCAACAGGGAACCACAGCAGAGGAGAGGAGAGAGGAAGACATGGAGGAGAAGTGAGAAGCAGAGGAGAATCTTCCTTCCTCTGCTGAGATCTTGTGAGAGAGAGAGAAGTGATCTGAGATAAAACAAATGCCTGCAGTGACTTTCGCTCAGGCTTTGTTGAATCGACTCATTGTGAATGCAGGCATCCCCTCTCTTATCTTTGTAGTGAAGCAGCAACATGAGAGTTTAGGGCACCTCTTGGAGATGCCCTCGATTCCTATTTTTATACGCGTGAAAAAAAAGCAAATGCTGCCAGGACTCGTGCTGGATGATGCTTCAGATGCTTAGAGGAGGGTATTTTTCCACTGAAGGTGCTTGTAGATTAGCTGTATTAGCTTTGGACAGAGCCAGGCTACCTATGTCTAACTATTTAATTCTGTACAGATATTAGAAGAGCTGCAAGTACAAATATCAAACCAAATCCCTTGTTCCAATTAACCCTAAGATATTCAGATGAACTGATACAAGCAAGAGAAAAGTAAAACATTTTATTTGAGAAGGCAGATCAAGAAAATATACTGCATTTTTCTCAGTTTTTGCAAATAGTATAATTGTTTCAGCCCATCTTTGTTTGTTTTTTGGTGCCGCTCAATACTAACCCTGATTTGTATTTAATATTTCTCTTGTTTTTATTATTTATGATGTTTTCCTGTATAATATCCGCCCCCGTTCGTATATAATGGAGGTGAATTTAGTTGTACTTATGGCACTAACAGAAGAAATGGCATTCGAAAAGTTCAATAACAATGCAGAAGCAAAGTTACTATGTAATCTTTAGATTTTGCCGCTCTCATACCTCATTCACATCAACGCAACTCCGGTTCAAGCTCCGTGCTAGAGCTTTTCAGGTTCAGAACCGGTTCTTCGGTTTAGCTCCGGCTCTTTTCACACCGCCCAGAGTCCGACTGGTGCTGCGTCATTGCGTCATCGTTTGCGTCATGACGTAACCGTTTCCGTGCCTGCTTCATAAAGCCAAACCGCGCGGAAACCCCTCACAGCTCACACCGACAACAACAACAATGGCCGATTGTGCTCCAGCTTCCTCTGTACCTCTTCAGAAGACCAGATTCCCAGTAGGTAGCTGGTCTCTTCAAGGGACCACTGCTGCTTGTTAAGTTTCTCACTTGTTGTGTACAAACTGGATAAAACGCCGGCTTTTTGTTGTTGTTCAGGAGTTGATCCCGCCCCTGCCCCCGCCTCGACGTAAGCGTGACGTATGCGGTGCTTTTGCTCTGGCCGGACAATTTTTCGGTGCTTGAAACGAACCGGATTCCGGAGCTAAGAGGCTGCTCCGCCGCGGTGTGAACAGGAAAACCCGGTGCTTTTCAAGCTCCAGCTCCGAACCGGCCCTGAAACACCGTTGGTGTGAATGTATCAGAGGGACTTTTAACGATTTAAGAGAAAATATGCAGAGTCTCTGAAACTTCAAAGGCACTGGAGCTTAAAATACACATAGGAATAAACAAAATAAAGAAACAAACACGTGCAGCATTTCGAATTAATTAACAAAGTGAGAAAATGCATCTACACACGCTGAAGTACGTTGGTTAGCTCCGAACTTAGCGTAAGCCTTTTAGCCTTTTGCTACTGTCTGACTAATTCCAAATAATGTCAGCCAATATCAGAGACACGCAATCTGGGTGTTAGGGAGGACATGTTACGCTCGTTTTCAGGTTCATATTTGTATTTGGTGCCTCTACTGTGACGTGTTTTTAATGATCAAAAAGGTCTTTAAAGCTACGGTCAATGTTCGATCTTTTGAAGAGATTTGAACTCATTTCTGTTTAGTGCAACTTTCAGCGGCGACTTTGTTGTGTTTTCTATATTTGCAGCTTTTCTGCACCCAAAAATGGGAATTTTCTACATCGTCTACTGTCTTGCCAATCCCTGTGTCTTCTAAGTGTGAAATAATTGAGTTCTCCATTGTAAGAAGATTTGAAAAATACTATAATACAGTAAACTGCATTTCTGGATGCACTTTGAAATCCATGTCGGCTCTCATGTCTCTGTCTCGATGTCCTGTACGCAAGAAGCCACAACTCTGTCTCCAAGTTACACCACTCCCATGTGGGCGATCGCATTTCTTTATTTCCACTCATCTCTGAGAGAGTCTCTCTTTATCTCCCATTCCCCTTCAC